ACAAGCCAAATTGGAACCAAATTATTAATAAAAAGCGAAAGAATGACAGCACTGACAATTAAACATTTACTTATTGTCAAAATGTCAGTCAGCCATTTTGTTTGGAATGCCTAATTGAGAACCTCCTCCATTTTTAAAGTCGGTTAAATATAAAGGAGTTTTTGTGCCAAAGGGAGGAAAAACATAAAAAACTTAATTGGTGACGCCTGGCCGATTCGTCAATCAACTCATACATTACCAATGGCAAAGAAAGAGAACGTTCTAAATGTAGAAAGACAAGTTGATAGCACCTTCTACCAGCCCGTGGCTCTCTATGGTAGTTTTGGTCCAAAAAAGGTTGAATTTATGAGGTTCTGTGTGGATTATTTTCAGTTTAAGAATGTTACAATGAAAGACAGTTATCTTCTGCCTCGAGTCGACTATACCTTGGACACTTTGGCCAGAAGTAAACTATTATCTACTTTAGACTCAAAGTCTGGATATTGGCAGATAGCAGTTGGCCCAGTAGACAAAAGAAAACAACCACCGAATCCTAATTTTCTCAATTTATTTATCGTTTAGTTGATATGCTAAATGTGAAAAAAAATTTTGTTGTTTCCTAACATAGTTTTGACGATTACTAAATTAAAGAATTATTAATAAGACAATCTGTATAATCTTTTGCGTAGCGCCAATATTGAATAATAATTCAGATAAACTAAAAATATACATATATGCTAATTTACAATTATTATAAGCAAAAAAAATGTCATCTTTCGTACATGTAATTATCATTCCTTACCTCCTTCTTATACTATCGTGATGTACGGTATAAATCAACCTAAAACAAGTAGCCCACTGGGTGAAGATAATCATTGATTCATTATAATGAGGAACTGGCCTGCCTTGTAATGAATATTTTAACTTGTACCATGATATTGGCTGTATTGGTATGGCACCCAAACCTTGAATCTCTCGTGTCGAAGACTAAAATGAATTCTTTCGGACATGCAGTCATTTTTTAAACGTTTACCGGCAGCTTATTTTTTAAATTTAACGGGTACGCGGATTCCGTAAATTTAAAAATGTGACAATTTCGTGAAAGATGTGAGAAAAAACGTGTGTATTTGTGAGTGTGAAAAATTTGTTACGAATGGGATAAATTTAAGAAATTAAATGTATATCGACTGGGAAAAATAAGTGTATTTAGTGTTTTTTATGTTGTTCGCAAAATTTTTGAGTTTTACGTTACATTTTCGTGGCATAGAAAAATGGCATGATGCGCAAAATTAGTTCAATACAGTTTAGTATCGTTTGCCGTTTGGCATATGATTAGAAAAAGTAATTCTAAGACTATTGTACCAAATGGCTTGAGTGGTGGACATAATTCAAGATAATAAATTCACAATTTTCATATGAAAACCTAACTCATCTAGACAAAGATATGGGCTCAGTATGAATAAAATGTATTTCCCATATAAACCGATGCTGTATTGCAGGTATTTGTAGATATGAGAACGAATCTGAACGCCGTCTGACCAGAACTAGCACATTAAATTTTTGTCTACGAATGACATGTTTTTTTTTAATCTACAAGTATTTGTCTTTATCTTAGGGGTTGAGAGATGGTATTAATAATTCGCAGGAAAATTGTTGAAATTTTTTCCGAAATATCAAATTATTTCAGATAAAATTTTTAATTCATATCGCTTGTCAGTAGAGTTAGGTGTGCCACAGAGATCAATATTGGATATGATTGAATCTTATACCCCAAGTAGTCAATTTAGTTTTACGAGCCTGACTCCTAGTATATCAATGTTTACTTACGTCTAGGAATTTTCTAGAGTTTAGGTACTTGGATACGATAAATTGCATTTTTTCTTATGGTTGAGTGAGGTCCTCCATCCCACACCAGCGGGTATACCATGGAGGAATATATAATTTTGAAATAATACTTTCCGTGTGTTACTTTTGTTACTAAGCCAGATATGTTTGAATTATTCAATTATTCAGTGTACTTTAAATTTAAATATCATTTTGTTATTGTAAAACGGACTGATATGCGCGGATGTGTTGCGTACTAACCTGTTGATATAACGCGCATATGTTATAAGCCCCCCTGGGGTATACTGGTTCAGCAGATTTTGGGTTCGGATTCTTAATTATTGAATGAGTCAATGAGTTTGGTGATGTTGCTAGGGAGACCTATGTCCATAAGTATCTTAATTACTTTGGCATGCTAGACCCTGTTGGGATTGAGGTATAATGCTTCCCAGCAAACATTTTGGTGTAATTTGACGTCGATACTACCTAAATTATATATAATAAATTTGGTCGCAAAATTAGATTTAACCATAATTAAGTAAAATTTACGTTGGTTCGACGTGGATTCGACATAAGTGGAGAATAAGACGACGTCGAAATTTGGTTTTATTTACCAAAATAGGTAGAATTACATCTAAATCCACATTGTAGTAGCCCAGTACGTTTGGTTAGTAATACCTCTCTAGGGAAATTTGACGTCAGTATAACGTTAATTCGACGTTGATTTAACTAAGTTTAGGTAGAAACTACCAAAATATTTGCAGATGACGTATGCCTCCAAGTGTACGAAAAGAAATTTTATACTTATTTGGTATTTTTATCTATATATAAGTAGAAATATTGTAAGAAGTCACCAACACTGCTAAAACATATACCTAATTCACATGAAAGATTGAAAATAATTAAATGTCTGTGACAAAAATATATGTAATGTAATTGCGGTGAATATACAGTTCACGCTTGTTGAAATTATTGCGAAGAAAATTTTGTCGTGCATGTTAACAGTTCTACTTAGAAAAATAACAATGCCCTTCCAAAATACTCTCTAATTAAAAAAATATAAGAAAAAAATATGATCGTGTAAAAAAATAATAATAATATTATGAGCTAAAACTATGTTACGTTTGTTGTGTATCACTTTAGAAAATCAATAATGTTTCGTTTTTTGGTATTTTCATTCGTATGTTCTAGTTATGGTCATTTTAAAAATTTAACATTTGGAATCGTACTTCAATTACGTTAAGAAAATATGGCGTATTGTGCGAATTCGACCTAAAAATTATTATGACTAAGAAAATCTACGTATTTTACAAATACCTTTTTATTAAGTTGAATTAACTTCAATTTCACGACATATTAGTTAACTTTACCTATTTAAAGAAATAATAACTTATAGGTTTTATAAAAAATTTACCTATAGGTAAATATAACATATTTAGGTCGCGTTGTTCTGCACTTAAGATTTTAGACGTTTCACTTTACGATAAAAATCGGAAGTATAACGATATGATTTATTATTTTTCGAACTCATTTTATTAATTATTTTTCGAACTCATTTTATTAATTATTTTTCGCACTCATTTAAAGCTCTATCTACACCACACGTAATTAAGATTACGACTGTAATGGTTTTTTTAAAATGGCCGAAATTCTTAAGAATAATGATGAAGACAGTAACTGAACAACCTAATTGTTAAAATAACCTAAATAATAAAAATTTTACAAATAGGTCATGTATGACTCTTTTTAAATTGGTGGTTTTTAGTCGAATTTACTTTGTGGTAGATTTTTCAGGTAATTGCTACAACAAAGTTAATAAATATTTCTTCAAGATGACTTATAGGTCAACTAAATGAGTATTCGACTATTTGGTTGAAATTAGGTAGATAAACAGGTAGAATTTTGCTACGATCTCGACCTAATATTACTTTAAAGGAGAGTAAATAAAAGCGACCAAATAGGTTACTATGGAGGCATAAAATTACGTAGAATTTTTAACCAAATCTACCTAATTGGATATTCTACTATAAAGACGATTTTTAGTTAACAAACAGGTAGATATTACCTAAATATGGCACCTAATTTTACTACAAAGGAAATTTAACTTTGAAGTAATTGTTAGTTATTTTTTTTAGTAGTTTTTCCCTTGATGATATGGTTGAATTTACTTTTAAGCACAGATTTGTGTAAAAGGTAGATTTCTTGGTAAAATTTACGTAAATTTAAATATAAATTAAAACCGTTTGGTAAATTTACATTAGAGGTATATTTTTCTAGTCAATTTTACGTAATAATTACCTCAATAAATAAATTCGTCTTTAACAAAGTCGAGTTATAACTAATGTTATAGAAAATGTTTGCTGGGTTCTTTCTTCACAAAATTACCATAATCTCTTAATGATTAAAAGTTCAAGTGTTTTACTGGGATAGTAGTTACGAATCTGTATTTGGGAAGCATGCCTGGTGAGAGTAAGAAACAGGAGAAATCAGACCCTGGGGTCGTGTTTTGACTTGCTTGACAGGCATATTGGATGTTTTGAGGGGTGAAGGGAATTGTGAAATGGTTTTCGACATTCAATAGATGCACAAGAGCAGGAAGGCTCTGATGGACGATATATTAGGTCTGGTTTCAAAAATGGTCGTCCAAAGTAATGGTATTTTGACCTAATCGACATAAATTCCTTTAAATACCGCATTATCAACCTGCCCCTAGTCTAATTAAATACTTTTACGGTACAAAGTAATGAGTTTTAATTAATCCATTAGAGAATTAATAATTTATAAAATTTAGATTATGTTTGCCGTGTCGAGCCAAGTAAACATTATAATTATTCTAAAAAAAAACGTTGCGATTTTAATTTAAACTGTGTAGTTTGTAACACATTTTTTATTATTAAATTACTAAATGTTTTCTAATGGTATTTGACCTATTTTTTTCATGCAAAACCGTGTTGATTTTTATAATTAAGTGTCTTGTTTAAGTACGATGTGGAAGCTAGATAAATCATGCTACACAAATAGAAGAATAAGTATTTTATTTTAATTTTTTACTCTATGAGATAATACTACCGCCGTATCTCGATAGTTCTAACCAATCAATTATTGTGTAGATTCCATCACTATGGGTTTATTAAGTTAACTTGAAGAATTGCATAAATTATAACAACTCAATGTGTAATGAAATAAGCACCAGAGTCCAATATTATATGGAATTTCTACCCCATATTAATAATTATTCTCTTAATCCCCAAAAATAATTAGGCAAAATTTGAGTACAGACGTGTGGGTATTACTTAACCTAGGAATGGTTTTGCCAGTGACCACAAAATTAGACTATCGGCGAAAAACAATTCCTAAAAATTCAAATATTATTTAAATTAAAAACTGATTACATGCTCAGTATGCATTACGAAAATAAATAAAACCATTAATATAATTTAAACACTAAAAAATTTAATAATATTTTCCCATAAATTTTTTTTAATCTAAACAACTTATTGTTTAGCCCGAATTCATACATATTAAAACTAATTTTACGCATTTGTTTTCATCCTTGAATAATATCCAAAAACCAACTCTGAACACCAGTTTACCTTAGCTAAACGTAAAATAATTTCTTAAACCATCACTGACTATGTAACTTTAATCAAACGATTTTGTTTGGTATAGTCGCAACTCCAAAGTTTTACGAATAACAATTAATAACAATTAATTAAATTTTTATCACATTTTTTTACATCGCCAGTCGATATATAAATGTAGTTAATCAAAACGACAAAAAATTAACTTTTTTATTATTGAAGTTAGTTGTAAATATGTTGATTACCGAAACCTTAAGTTAAGTGGTTGTGTTTATGGTTTTTTCAAAAAACTATTTAGCTAATTAATTGCTTCTGTGATATCGATTTGCTTGTGTGGAAAATTATTTAGTCATGTATAGTTATAGATGTTGCTCGTTACTATTAAATTTGGTTTTTCTTGTTGTAATTAGTGCGAAAGTCGTTAAAAACAATGTTTGCACGACTTTTCGGGGTTATGGAAATATTCAAAATGATCAGAATTGTTTTTATAATCCTGATCTGGATTCTACACCCGTAAGTATGTTTTTTTTTTTTTAATAATAGTTATTTATTTTTTATTGTCTGACGTAGTATAAACTTTTATCGCCAATCGTAAAATTTTATAATTTAAAAAATTGGAGATATTTTTTAAATTATTGACAGTTGCAAACTTTCTAGCTTTCATTATTAACTACTGGTTGGCCAAAAAAATGTTAATTGCTATAACTCTATATTACTAAAATAATTGTACTTTGTCGTTTGTTTATGTTTTGACAGAAACGTATGGACAAAATAAATTACCCTTATCACAACCAAATGCCCTTCCTTTTATTAATAAAACAGATTTATTATAACTTTGTACATCCTTGTCAATCAATAGAATTTCATTAATGATTTAGTAGCAGTAACAAAACATAAGTAATTAATCTTTTTTAACAATAAAAGTAAACATTTATGATAAATATTCATCAAAGTACCTAATTAAGTAACTATTTTACAATTTGATCAAATAAAAACAAGAAACATTAATAAAGAACATCAGTAATCTGTTGTTTATTTACATTTGAAGATTTTTATTGTTTTGGGTCAAACTTTATTTAACAATATTGCATAATTATTTACCTACACTTCGCACATTTATCATATTTAAAAGAATGTTATTGAAAATGAGTCAACTATGTCTTAATATTAAATTGATAATCAGCTAAATAATTGTTTGACCTTCCTTGTATATGTAGCTCAAGTTCTAGGATTAATTTAAATAAAACCGGTATGTAGATATTGCACTAATAAAACCTAACACCTAATGTGTTAAATTTCATACATTTAAAACAATATTTGATTGTATTTATAGTTATTAAGTTTAATTTTATAATAAAATCACTTATGCTCAGGCGTGAATTGTTAATTTGTGAGCTGTAGAAATATAAATTAAAGTATTTAAATCGTCGATAATAAGTTTTTGGGTAGTAAGTGAGCATAAACGAGTAATATAACTAGATATTATAATATAAAATAATTATGAATCACACAGTTTTAACAGAGTTATGCTATATATAGTGAGAAAAGCAAGGGTCCTAGAATGGATCCTTGCGGAACGCTAAAATGTAAATTGTTTAAGACATCAGCTTCCAAAACAACTTTATGAGTACGATTGCTAGGATTATTTGATAATCTAAACTATTAAATGCTTTACTATAATCCAAAAGAACCAAGCATGTGACTTTAGGCAGAACTGTCATCTTTGTATCTGTAACGTATGGAGGATGGATTTTCTCATGACATGCAGGTCTCTACTAGATCCATTATGCATCCTCCTAAGTTGATAGGCTCCCCTAGCTCGTCAACTACCAATACTTGCCGAAATCGTAGATAATATGCCCAATGGTCTAATCTTCTTGCTCATACCCTCTGATAGTCCCATGCTATATAGATACTTCCGTACTTGACAATAACCAGTCAAGTATTTGTTTGCTGTAGTGTTGTTGGGTTAACTCTACTGCTTCTTGTTTCATCCCATCATTTCTTCAATTTCAGAAACGATGATTCTTTAATTAGATTTGCCACTACCGATGTTGTCAATCCAATGGAAGGGCCAGATCCAAAAAGTATTTAGTCAGCTGCTTTCTTAGAAAGAGAACAGTGTCGGATTGGGACCTCCAGTTCTTTTTTCATAGTCCGATTCATTGAAGACCAAAAAAGGGTCTACTTGCACATTGTTGCTTTTTCCAAGCTTCTTCGCATTTATTTGTTCTTCTCAAGGGCCCTCTAACGAGGGGGTCCATTGACTGAACGAGGGCCCTCTGCCTCAGCGAAGGCCGTCTGCTTGAACGAAGGCCTGTCGATCTTTGGATGTAGCAAAATGGTTGGTTACCTTCCGATATGGCGTAATCTTTAATCCATCTCAAGATAAATGCATTGCTGATATATACTTCGGCCACAGCTTCTTGAAATTCTAGTACTAACCCAGAGTAAATTCGTGGTCAGTCCAGTGTGAATAGTGTTTATCTGCTATCTATGTAGATGAGCATGTCTCTTTAAATGATATTGTTTTTGGTAACTGTTTTATACTCGTGGAACAGGGAATAAAACACTACTTTGTTTTACACTGGTTTTTATTACTTTGATTAATAATTAATATACATTCAAAAGGTCTTCTTGCCTTTAATATGGCTTCTTAGAGAATGGCGTTTTATGTCCATTACGCATCGCCTTTCAGCTCCTCTCCTTTTCGCACACTCACCACTCACCTTGTAGGTTGTGCTTCACTGTACACTACCGTGTACATAACTCATGACTGAACAGTAACTTCTTTTACTGTTATAAGAATATTCCACATCCTGAGCCTCGTTTTTTTTTTAGATCCTTTGGTGTAGATATGAATCGTATTTGCCACTTCCGGTTCTTCTATTTGTTCTGATATATATTTATATGACCTATGGAAGATATATATCGGTGAGATAGAGTCCATGTTCTTCAAGCAGTAAAAGCATATATGTCAGATCTATTGCCTTAAAAAGGTCATCAGTGATAAATAAGAGGTCCTACTAACATGCACAAAGATATGTTATCTAAACCAACAGCATCACATTTTATGTGAGTTAGATATTTTCGAAAAGAATCAGAAAAAACAAATTGAAATTCTAATTTTGTTTGAATAACATTTTCAGAGTATCGATCAAATGGTGTTCCAGGTAGTCTTAGAATTCTTTTCTCCAGGAACAAAGCTCTAGTAGTAAAGTTTCTTAGGCTTCATTGCAGCAATATATGAACAGTACTTATTAAATGCCTCAAAGAAAGATGTTCACATTAGATCCTCAATTCCTTTTACTCAAATCTGACAAGTTTATAAATAAAATTGAAGGAAAATTAGATAAATAGATAAAACTCATTTCTAAAATAAGTAATAATAAACTAAACATTAGCTAGAAGAATTGTAGCCATTACATTACATGAACCGAAATAATGGTAAAATTTATTTCAATGGAATTTGTTAATATTTTTTTGCAGTCACAAATAGCTGAAGGGCATGGATACGCCTTAGAAACACATACCACAACAACGCAGGATGGATATATCATAAGTATGTTTAGATTGAAAAGGAACTCCGCACAAAAAAAATTTGGACAACCTGTAATACTTCAGCACGGGATTATCGTTGATGGGCTGTCATGGATGATCTCTGGAAATAATTCTTTAGGTGAGGAATTTAAATTTAAAACCTGCTAAATTTCCTAAAAATCTTATTTCGGTAATTTGGAGTAATCTTTTCCTTTTTAGTACCATTTTTTACTTCACTCCAACACTTCGATTACCCTTTCAATAACACCAGGTACAAATCCTTGTTCTATTACCCGACAGACGTTGTAATTTGTCTCTCTAGACGGTAAATTAAAGGGAACTCATTTCTCATTTCTTACATAATCGTACATTTTAGGCTTCAACTTGGTTTCTAACGGATTTGATATATGGCTTCCAAATTTCAGAGGTTCTACGTTCTCGGCAAAACACATTAATTCCACCATTAGCGATAAGGATTATTGGGATTTTAGGTGAGTACGTTAGAATTACCGCTTTGAAGGATTTGCAATGCGATATTTTCTTAAAATTTAGTTTGTAAGATGCCAGCAATGAAGTATACCGCAAATAATATTATACAAAGTGATTCATTATGATGATAACTTTATGAAAATGGTTTGTTTTGATAGCATTAATTGAAAGGGCTTTTCTTTTAACACACGGTCAGTTACTCGGGCGCCATATTATTTTAAGTGGTCTATTCTACTAATTCTTAATACTGCGCCAAAAGTTTTTGAATGGGGATGTTGCTGGCTACATCCTCATCACGAGTGCCAGTTCTGAGACTGGCCACAGCTCGTATCTTTTGGCTTAACACTAGCTGCGTCAATAATAAAAAAACTGCGAACTTTTGTATTCGTATAATCTAATCATGAACAGGAACACATTAACAATTCTTCTACAACTATATTTTCTATTATCTAATACAGGGTTTTGAATGTAAAAATTGGGATTACAAGAATGACTTTTTCCGTTGACTTCTGCCCAAAAAACAACAAATTGCCTAGCGACCATATTCCTACGTCCCAAAATATTTGTGACGCGCGAATGTTGCGAAACGTGACAACCGGGTTACTCATTAGAAATGTGTCGTCATATTTATATTTGTAATCAAAATTCCTACAGTATTCAGGCAGCTTCGAAAAGAGATAAAAAATTTCAGATATCACGTTTATTGTTAACTGTTATTATTAATTGAAAAATTATTATACTAGAGTATTAAACGCATTCTTAAAATTTCAGTTTTCATGAACTGGGAATCTACGATGTCCCAGCGTTCGCCGAAAAAATATCCGATGTTACAAAACGATCAGACATCGTATACATCGGACATTCGATGGGTTCGACCGCGGGATTGATTTATGCATCGATCAAACCCGAACATGCTCGGAAATATATAAAAGGATTCATATTTACGGCTCCAGTGGCTTTCTTCAGGAATGTTAAGGGCGCTTTAAGGGCTGCACTTCCATTTTACATCCTCATAAAAGTAAGTAGATCTAATAAAGAGTGGCCCACAAAAAATGTTTCTAAAGACAAAAATAAGAGTTATGCTCGTGATAACCAAGCAGAATTAAATTAAATCTCATACTTATACGCTCTGTCATGTGTAAATTTTTCTGAGGTTTACTTTACAAACATTTTTTGTTGATCACTTCATATTTATCCATTGGAAAATATTAATTTGGTCGGTGGTGTACCAGTCTAACGCGCTTATATTCATTTATAGACAAGTTTATGATCGGAGACTGACGGGCTTCGAATCCCACACCGGACCATATGGATTTTTAATTAAATTTCATGGTTCGGTATAGGATTTGATGTGTGCCGTATTAATAGAAATTCAATTTCTGTTGATATGACATGCAGATATTAAATCACCATGCAATTATCGTCTCGATGATGGTGGGTGAGGTTTTCCGAGTTTTCCTCACCTGTAAGTCAAATGGCACCATCAATCATCTTTAAGTCGCCCCGGAGCGCCACGGCAAATAATAATAATACCCTTTCTTCGCACAAGCTCAGCTTTTGGGGTTAAAATTCACTCGTAAGATTAATCTTTCTTCAGTAATTGTAGTAAATTTCTAAGGGGCTAAAATTCGAGAACTAAAAAAATTTCAAACTCGCTTCCCATAATTGCCGAATGGTAAGATTGAAGGTTGAAGATATTACTGTACAGAGGTAAACAGGAAGTAAAATTACTCGACGACATTTCGTGGTTTAGATTTACTAACGTCACCACGCTGTTACTTGAATGCAAGACCCACAAATTCGTGTGTTGAATTATTAAGCTTTATCAAAGTATGTTTCTGACATAGTTACTGGCTGAGGTGTGTTAAAAGTATACTAACCAGAAATTGACCAGAGTTGACCAGAAATTAGCTGATGACAATAACTAAGAACCAATCCTTTCGTTCATAAGATAGGATAATTAGTTATTTAGTACACTAGAACTACAATAGGTCTGCAAATTTATGTCCAACCAAATAATAGTTAGAAGGTATGCTATCTGAGTTACAGGAATCCAAAAATATGTTCAGATGGATGTTATGTTGTTAACTTAACATTTCTTTAAAAATTTTCTTGATACACTGAATAAGACGTTTTTAATTGTCTACCTATGTTTGGCGACAGTGGTAAATTATAAATTACTTTTGTAATGATCAAATATTGTTGAACTTTATTATTTCGAAGCAGAGTTTTGTTATTTTTTGTCTTCTAATAAAATTAATACAGCAATTACAAAAAAGTTCCTCTGAGTCTGTAGTCCATTTGACAAAGAACGTTAATGAAGGAACTTAATCTTAAAATAATATTAATTGGAATTAAGATTACAAATATACTTTCTTAATGTAATTTTAAAGCATTTTGTTGATAACTATAACAAAACTGGTTAAATAGTTCTTTAGGGAGTATATTTCGCGTTTACCTCTGTATATAGTGATGATACCATAGAAATAATATAGAAGACCAATATAAACATAACATTTAAGCAGAAATTGAAACCTACTGTGCATAAAAACGCGTCTCTGCGCCTGAAATCGCAAAATAGTGTGTCTAGAAGCTTGCGCAATATGCATGACTTGTCCCTGTAGTGTTGCCAAATATATTAAACATACCTAACAGAAAAGAATTTTAAATTAATTAATTTTTAAATTATATGATTTAAACAGTTTATATCTACGAAATATCGCCACAAAATAACTTATACACATTTAAATAATCAACTAATAATATTTATGTGTAATTACATTCCCAAAAATATATATAAATACCGTATTAATGTCATTAATACCGTATTTTTAATGTTCAATAAGCGATTCACCTACAAATTCAATATTGACCTGGCAATAGCACTAAAATCTGGTGTTTCAAGGCTATATGACGCTGCCCTTACAGGACCGTTTGTAGTTTATTATTTATGCCACGTTTGAGAATCCACATCGGATGCATCTGAGATGTAGTAAGTAGTAAATCTTTGATCACGTGATTCAGTATACGTAAATGTAATGGGACAGATGTGTCCGATGTGGATAAAAAACGCTCGAGATGTAAAAAATGCATCCGATGTGGATTCTCAAACGCGGCATTAATTACACGATGATAGTGGCCTTTTATTTTTAATTTTGTGTAGTGTTTAGTCAAATCCTAGGTACAATAAAAGACATTTTTACATTGGCTAATGAAAATGTAATCAATGTATTAGGCAGCTGTTATATTTATTACAAGATTTATGTCTGCAAATCTAAACCTACCTAAGAATTATAATTATGTAAATAGAGAGCTGTATATTTATATACAGGCTGCCCAGCGACGGGGAGACATTATCGATATCGGTTTTAAGGCATTTTAAAACATAAACCCGATCTCAACAATCTTAGGAACTCTTCTGTCACTCGATATTTTAATCGGTACTTCCTCTTCGCTTTTTGGCTGGCACAACAATTATTTACATTTCTTCATTCCTTACCGCGTTCGAACCAGTAAGGTTTAAAGAAATTTAAAAAAAAAAACCTACTTTAAAAATAAAGATGTTAATGATTTTCTTATGGATCCCATCTTCAGATCTTGACTTAATGTATATAAAACTGTTTCCTTTTATAACAAAAATAATCCTAGAAATCGGGCAACGTGGTAAAGAATTATCGCTCAACATACATAAAAAAATATTTCAACGAATTGAGAATATCCTACCATTTTGAAGTATGTTAAAAAAAAATTGTTAATAAAGTGAAAAGTAGGGCATGAACATATATTATAAAGTATATAAAATTATAGATAAATCCAGTTTAGAAGGTATTATAAATAAACTGTGGAAATATCGAGAATCTCGATTTTGAATCGGAAAAATATTCTACGCAATTTAGTATGAAAGCTGATCAAAATGAAACACATGAACGACAAACTGTTATTGACAACTTTCTTCAAACGTTTTCTATTTTTCCGAAAACTAACTAGATAGTTCGAAAATCATTTCCTTCGTTAAAACGCCTCTTGTTCCGAAAAAGGTACACGCCTGCCAACATTCATCGTTCATTAAAAAAGTGGTAGATACAAAACGTTTCGTATTGTAAGGCCAAAATATATTTAAAAATCGAAATAGTCATATAAACAAAAAAATCATATGAGTGAGATAACTACCAAATTAATGATTTACAAGTTTATTCCTATTATTTATAAAATAGGTTTGCAATGTGCTGGTGTGGAATGTTATCATCGACTAAAAACTTTAAATCTTTGTATTAAATTGATCGAAAACAAACTATAAATTGGTTTAGGCTATATAGAATGTTTCTAGTAAGCAGCAACTAATTTTTATTATGGAACCGAAAGACCCTTTTAAAAAGGTTCAAAATTAAAATAAAATATGTACCAAGTAAATGTAGTAGTATTTTTTAATTTTTTAATTTATATTGAAAATGGTAACATGAAAGGTTTTCTGTCTAACGACTCATAGTCTCGGCTGACAAAATGTAAAAAAATATCGAACATAATATTCATGGGCCCTATTTTGCACTCCCCAGATTAAATTTAGTTGTAGCAAATGATATTATCAAATAAGATGTCAAATCACAAGCAAAATCTCGTGACTATAGTACTAATGATTGCCTGTTTGGAAAAGTATCTTTGTTTGTAAATATTTATATGCATAGTTATATTTAAATGCGCGAGTGTAATGTTAAGTATAAACAAAATCCGCCCATTATGTATATACGTTTAGTTACCGACCCTAGTAGATAGGCAATTTGTTATTGTTTTAAGTTTTACCGTAGGGAGAGAGAAAATCAATATTAGGATAAATAGTCCAGCTCCTTTCTGGTTACGTAGGTACCTAAAAAGTATTTTAGTTTTTGGTTAAGTAATTAATTATTGTAACAGTGATTTTCTTGTGATAGTACCTAATTTAGATTGTGGATTAAAGTTTTTGTATATAATTTCGCTGTTTAATAATAAACGTAGTCAAAACCGGAGCACGTGGTTTTTCTGGAAAGTATTTTTAAAATCACAAGCAAAATCTCATGACTACTGTACTAATGATTGCCGAAAATTAACTAATTCATATTTTATGCCATATCTTTCTTAATAAGGACTGTCAGAACCATATTTACCTTAACTTGAAATTTTTTTAATCGTTTTTTGTATAGAATCATCTCTAAAAATGTATGATTGAAATATCGTGCGAACTATTTGTTCGATCAATAAAAAACTTGCACCGGTCCTGTTCGCGCCAGCACCGTTATACGCATGAGCTCCGACACACTATTTTCTCCTTATGGTTTCATTTTTGATATATGGAATCGGCTTTCTATACTATTTCTATGGATGATACACATTGAATTGAAGGCATGATTATGCATTGTAGCCACTCTCATAGATATTTTGAATTACATATTGTTTTTCAGGGTTTATTAGCAGCTTTAAAAATATATGCGATTGGTACGTTTCCAGCTCTTCAAAGTTTCCTAACAGGACTAGCTTGTGGGAGTTATCCAAGTATGTTACTCTGCCAGATGATTTATTCATTTACAACGGGATTAGCAATCGAACAAGTCAGACCGGTAGGAATATTCTTATTATTACATAGCAATAACTTTACCTAACATTCACTAATTACTTGCCATAGAAAAAATGTGATATACATCTTTTGAGGTAATTCAAAAATTTTATTTTATAGGACTTTTGTAACTATTTAAAATGATTTTTTCATAATATAATTCTCTTAATTTGAAATCTGTAACCAGAAAATAAAGAATTTTGGATATATGTAAACATAATAATAATAATGGAAACATTAGAAAGTTATGTTGACTGTATATTTTTATGAATTTTCTATGTATTTTCTGGGTGAATCAAAACTATGGGATCGTACGTCGACAGATTATTTAGTGCAATAATAGAAAAGAATGTGTTTGATTGAAAGTCAAAGCATTGTTCTTATTTGAGTCAATAATTACATGACATTCGATCAAACACATAATTAATTTAAAGCGCTTTGGGGAAACATTTTAGGATATTGGTTCTTTGTCTTCTATTATTGCACTGAATAATCTCTCGACGATTGGTTCCATAGTTCTAATTCACCCAGTAAATACCTTCGTACTAAAAAGAAATAAACACAATAAAAACAATTATTATTTCTATTATAATACTTATACACATATTTAAATTTTGTTTTAGGACGTATTACCGATTATTTTGAAATTTTATCCAACTGGTACTCCTGTCAAATCCCTGATTCATTATGCCCAAATTATTCGGGCCAATGGACGATTTCAGCAATACGACTACGAAATAAAGGAAGAAAACATGAAGAAATACAAGTCTGCTCTACCTCCAATGTACGAAATAGAGAAAATTAAAGTTCCTTCTCATGTTTTTGCTAGCAAAAATGATTTTTTGTCGGACTTTGACGTAAGAAATAGTGTTTTTTTTTATATTACATTTAAAACCTTAAATATCCTCAAGGCCTAAAAGTTAAATATGTCACCTATTAAATTTATTGCTTGGTGTCGTTTCAGAATATTTCTTGTTTCTTCTAACATTCCGCTACTGTACTATCTCAAGTTGTTCTTTACCTTCCTCTGTTTTCTTTGTACATTGATCTTGTCTTCCAACGCATTACGTGTTTAAACCATTTCAGTTTTTGTCTCTCTTTGCCTCATATATTAGGCTCTTTTTAGCTTATTTCTTATTCTGTTCTTTCGTGTAACTTCTTTAAATGCTTTGAGGTACTTCATATCCACCACAATAGAAATAATACTCAAACTTGACGACCTATCATTAATAATGCACAAATAAGACATACTCAAACATAGCTAGTAATAACAGACCTAATCAAACTTAAAACGAATCTTCAACTATGTTTAATACGCCCTAGAGAACTAAAAGAACTAATAAATGAGAAGAGAAAGTCAATGGCAATAGTAAACGCCCCTTGGTATGTTAGAAACTCTTTCTTCTTCTTAGCTACCTTCTTTAGGCGATATTATTTATTCTAGATACAATGTATTATGTTTATTTTTGTATAAATTTAGTAGTTGTACTATCAAAGTTCTGACAGTACTGATAATCGTCGGTAGGTGGCACTGCATTTCAAGGAGCTACATAATATTTATTGTAGCAGTCGCTAGCTAGCACTGGTCTATTCGAAAATATATCAGAGTCTTTATTTTTGTTTTAGCATGTTTCATTTGGCCTCATATTTCTAAATTCCTCAATTTTTTCTACAAACACTACAATGTTATCATAAAGTACTAAAATTGCGATATTTTCATTTTTTATGTTCTGTTGGCACATTTAATACTTTCATTTATTTTACAACCTTGCCTATTTCTTTTATATAATTTACAAAGCTATGTTATCTATAATAATATTTATATAACAAATTAAATAATTTTAATTTTTAGGATTCCAAACTCCTATACGAACATCTAACAAGTGCTAAAGGAATGCACACGTATGGTCTTGGTCATACTGATTACTTGTATGGAAAAGATGTAAACAAATTGTACAAAAATATAGTTGACGTTATAGAAACCAATTTCATTAAAAATAACGTAATAAAATAATTGATAGACTGGTATACATTCGTTTTATTCCCATTTGCATCAAAGAAATTTAAGGTATTTGCATTAATCTTAGAGTTCACCTTTATATCAAAAAAGAAGACCCTTTAATAGCTTATTCTCTTTAATATAAGCTGGAACACGCGAAAGAGAAATCTTCTTAACGAAAGATTTTTAAAAATAATGATTCCACTCACGAGGGAGAACTGAAAGCAACTTAAATAAGATGACCTCCATTATTTTTAAAACTACCATCTACCTTTTTTGTAGTAGCAGTTTATCTAGATAACCATTTTTTAAATTCACAGATTTTGTTCACACAATAATAATGTCTACATATTAAAAAGTATTTTGTACTACAAGTAAATAATCCAACAAATTAGACTAGAAATGTCTTCAAGATATTCAGATTTGTTATGATTTTTTCGATGGCACTTTAAAAATAGAGGTATCGAAGGACGAAAACTATTTATATTCTGGAAAATTCTCTATAAAATTACCTTTTTAATGATATGTTACACTCTTGTTGCATTCTATATCTAAATCGTATTAAATATTCCAAGCTGTGTACCCTTTTCAAAATGGAAAATTTTAAAATTGCTGTTTAAAATTAATAGATTTGATTCTGTTTTCGTAAAATTTGACTTAATTTAGTAACAAACTTAAGTAGAATATGAATATAACTTTATTATTATTAAAAAAGAAAAATAAAATGCGGCATTAGTTGATTATTATCTAGTTTTATGAAAAAAAATTTAATCTGAATTTTTTTACGAAAACTCGTTAAAATTTGGATGCGAAAATTTTTGTCTATTAAAGTATAAATATTATTGACATAAAAATTACTTGGCATCAAAAATTAGGTAAAGGAAAGCTTTTTAAATCGTTATTATAAATATGTATATTATCATATACCATATAGACATTCGAAAATTGAATCGTGGACCATACAAGCCAAATCAGCACAAGCAAGAGCACCAAAGAACATAAAAACAAGAAGGGTCACTTAGCGTCGGTTCTGATAGCTGTCTTTGTGATACCACAGAAGGGTTGTGGGTCAATAGGAGTCTTTGAGGCTATTTCTCGGACTAGTAAATCAGCTTCTTTATTGCCCTTGTATCCTTTTTGCCTGATAACTTTAGAGTTGGTCTGTTTTGACTACACAGCTGTGCTAGGACTTCCAGACAGTCCCACACAAGCTTTGATTGTACCTGTATGAAACTTAAAGCTTTTAACGTCACTTGACAATGGGTTTTTTACTTACCTTATATATTAATACCTTTTTTGCGCATTGATATATTACTGCTATTTCCGCCTGGGATACTGTCGCATGTTTACCTAAGTTCAGTGACATTCTTGTCTTTGTCTTGGCACTATATATATAACTATTCCTAACTCTTTATGCGGTTTGGAGCTGTCTGTATACCAGGTGATTTCTGCTTAAATAGGAAGTTCTCCCGTCCAAGCTTTCCTATCTAGTATTCTTACTTTGTTGCTTTTGAGAGAATTTCTTTTGAAGGCATTCCCATTATTTGGTAGTTTTTCAATTTTTTTTATAGCTCGCTTTAGTTACGTCCATGTAGACTGATTATGGATAAGAACCTTTGTATAGTCTGTATGTAACGGACCTGACTTCGCCTTGAGTGATTATGTGATACTCGAGCATTCCTACCTTTGAATACTGTTGAGCTGTCAAAATGTCATCAGTTTGCCGTGTCTTTGAACATCATACCACTGACCCGTAACTTATTATAGGCCTTACGACTCTGGTATATGGCCATAGAAACATTTTTGGCTATAGTCCAACTTACCTCTTGCGATGATTACCAGGTCATCAGCATACCGTAAGCAGTAGAAATCTGCAAATATTAGCCTTTTATAAGTTCTTATACTAAGACTGACAAAAGGAGGGTAGGGTAATACTCCTTCCTGAGAGCAGCCCCTGCCTGCTGTAACCGTTAGTATATCTTCACCTAGAGATCAGCCCTGGCGAAAGGGAGGGACAGGAGGGAATCTCCGGGGCTCTGCAGCTTTAAAAAAATAGGTTATAATATGTGTCCAGCGGGCCTTTGCCAGTGTTTTGCTTCAGGGCCTTCTGTGGCCCTGCTAGGGATGATATTTTCCCTTCTTCTAGGTTGGCTTACTGACACAGGACTCCTGGTACGTTTGCTCGAAGGGTTTTCTATATGTTTCTTCATTATTCTTGAGAAATCCTACCTGGTTTGCAGTACCCTCTTTAGCTCAGACATCATGGATTCTAGAGCATATGGGTGTTTCAGATAATTTGTCACCGAACTATCTATATGATTGTGTTTTAACTTTTCTTTCTTTCTAACTTATAAGTCGACATTTTTTAAAATATAAATTTAATTCACGATATTGAAAACTCAAAATTATTTCTAATTTGTTTAATCCACAAAAACTTGTTTATACCTAATATTACATCACAGGAGGTCTTCCAAAAAACCGTATTTATAAGTTCCCCATATTTGTCTCCATTTTTACAACAAAATTATATAAATGAATTCCTTAAAAATTTAAAAAATAAAGTCTCTTCTGGTCTAGATGAAATACCTACTTTTATTGTAAGCAAAGTTTTGGGTTTTATTTTATCACAGCATATTTTCTCTATAGACGCTTTTCCTCAGTTTTTAAATTCAGTAAAGTAAAAATGATCCTCTTAAATAATTATAGATCACTTGCTTTTCAAAAGTATTTAAGTATTGTTTTCTTCAAAGATTATTGGTTATAATCGTTATAAGCGGCATTTTGTCATTTGAATCGAATTTAGAACAATATACATTAAATTTACATTTTCCGTTAAACCCAATTTCGAACGCGGAACCTGTCGCTGGCTGGAGTTTTTATTTAATTTTCTTTGGAAAGACGGTATCGTTATTGTTGACATTACATGGTAAATTTAGCAGAGCAAAAGCGTTGGAAATTAATGTGTAAGTTTTAAGGGATAAAAACAGCTGTAAGATAAGGCAGTAGTCGTCTGACAACATAGTCCGGTCTTGAGGTTAATGAATTTCAAGACAATTTGTTTTTTTTTGTTAAAAAAAATAAATATCTGCATGACAGTTAGTTAATTCACCACATTCAAAAAAACTTTTACACCGTTCTGTTTATTACAAGTAGGATGATGATAATAATAAATTGTTCATTCGTATACGAAGTCAGGCTTATCAGTTAACATGATAACATCGGCTTTCACTGTTTCATTATTTTGAAGCTGCGTTTAGTAGCAATTTATTAAATAAAAGAGGAGATGACACAGTATTCAGGGACTAATAAAAAATATAAAGTTGCAATACTAAGAAAAAATCATGGCCACTTATATCTTTGGAGTATTTAACGTGTCAGTTATCACAATAAAGAAATGGGCAGCCAAAAGAACCATAAGCTTTGGATTGAGAATAAGTGATATGCTAAAAAAAAACGTTAAAGAAGCTTTAAAGACTGGAAAGTTGACGAAGAAGAAGAGACGCTGAAAACGCCACATAATTTACTAGAATTGATGTTATTAATAAGTGGGTATAATTAATTTCTCAACAAAATAATCAGACCTGGCCTAATAGTTTGATGTACGAGCCCCTTGAACTGAAATGGAAGACCATGTTTTTGCACGCAAAAGATAATCTATGCAAATTACCTCGCAGCAACTACCTAGTTAGAACGTTGTTGTGAACACTTAGGAAGACTTTGCTTTAAATATTACTGGGTTTTTATGATAATGTCGAGAAGGTACAATTCGGGAATTTTAGGAGGTCAACGGCACTAAAAACTTCTGAGACTCGAAGTAATTAATTCAACAAATTGCTTTATACGAGGACAAGTCAGAAGAAATATGCGAAAGATGAAACTTCTATTGAGAAAATGGCACATTAAAACAGTAAAACTTTTAATATCACAATAAATTACATTAAAAAACTAAAAAATTTACAAAATATAATACAAATTAAATTTACAGCTACATATCAATTAAAAATTGTAAGGTAATTAATAAGTTATTTAATTACAGATAAAAGTTACATAAGAGATCATTTCAATTAAGTCAAGTTCAGTTCAGATAATGATTTTAATAATAATAATAAAACCAATGGTAAGTTTTTTAGATACTGACACTTAATAAACAGAAAATATAATGGTGAATATGATTAAAAAAATGAACCCGTAAAAATCAGTTAAACATAAAACTATTGCAGAGATTCTCCATCGAAATGTAGTTCATACTATGTATTTTAAACCTTACAAAAAACTTACCTAGTTCTAACCAGTTTTCCTGAGGAAATAAATCTAATAAATCATTTTTATCAAAGCCTAGCTTCTATCGTCAAAACACGAAACTACATTATCGGTAGAAAACTATTTAGGATTAATCGACTTACCTGTAAGGAAGTTTAATCATAATTATACTCCATATATAAATTTAGAGCATTTTTGTTTGTCTTGTCTAATATGCAGTGATTTTTGAGAATCCTCTGTAATTTCCACACAGTTTCAAAATTACAGGAAGTGTAGAAAGTGGTCTATAAAATTAAACTATATTTGGAAGTTTGCTTAGCTTAGGGATTCTACAATTCCACAAAACTCTTTAACCATATGTATCAAGTAGATGTATCCTTTAAGTAACGCGTCGACTCTACATTACTATTAAATAGGTATTGTAGTCCTTTTAAATCGACGATGAATAAAAAACGCCTTTAAATATTCTCAACAAGTTTTAACCTCGCTTCTCTTTACTGAATAAAAAATTCCCTTTGATGTCAAATTGTACATCATTTTATTATCAGCTTTATCAGACGCTATCTGAGAAAGGACAAATGCTGGAACGATCAAATAAGAAGGAATTATTAATTTGAAAGTCAGCAAAGTTTTCGATTCGACAATTGCCGTTATCTGAGAAGATTCCTAAGCATTTTTATTTGTAATTTGAGATTTGGAAGACGCTTTAGTCTAAATTGATATGAAATATTCTTTTTTTTTAAGTTTTTATACATTTAGCAAGAGGTA